CCCAGTACTTTTCGACGATATAGCGATATTGACAAAATTAATTAGCTGTCAAAAATGGTTTTTTAAAGTTGTTAAGCATAAAGATTGACTCCCACTGTTTGTAAATACAACTATTTTAAAAAATATTTACATTCGCTTGGAATTTGTCACTTGGGGGTTTTCGGGGTCGTGGATTACGAATATGATCCAATATGTCAGATTGAATCGATTTTTAAAAAAGTCGTCCTATGACAAGTCTCTAGCACGTCGGATTTACCAGGTAGAAATTTTCAAAAACTGACATCGCGCACGATAATTGCACGTTTTGCGAAAAAAGCAGTTTTTTTGTTAGTACACAGTATTCCAATGGATTGACTAATTTTAAAATCCTAAAATGTATTTAACTTAGAAAAGTAAGTATTTTCAGAGAAGTATTTGTTTACAATTAATGATAAAAAGTTTCGGACAATTGGAAACATCAAAATTACATAAAATCATCTATTGAGATACGCAAAGTTTTTCAATAAAGATTTATAAGTTTAAAGTTTTGCGGAGTATTGCCAAGTCTGATATACAAAAATGTTCGTTATACGCACATTTAAAATGTATGTAAAGATTATTTGCTAAGACCTGCCAAGATAAGTTAGGCACACATTTCAATGTGAACAAATACGAATTACAAAAAGTCTAGAAAATTGACTAAAAGTGAAAATTCCACTGCATTTCTTTCATGGTCAGTTTTGCATGCCTGTTTCGTTCCGTATCGGAAAACGAATTACCACACCTACGTTTTGCGAAAAAGTATTCTTTGTTAGTGCACAGTGTTGTAATAGAATAACTACATTTAAATCCCAAAAAGAAAGTAAGTATTTTCAAAAAAGTGTATATAATAGTTAATGTAAATAAATGAATTTAAAAAACAATAACAAATCAATAGAGTAATAATACACTACCGTCAAAAATTGTGTGACCTGTACTTTTTCAACAACTATAAAACTGTTTAAATCTTCAAAAATATTAAAACTAAAAATTTTTCCTCTTTATTTTTGTAAACCTAATAAAATTCTAAAAGAAATGCCACCTTGACAAAAAGAATATGTTAGTTCTTCAATTATATATCTAAGAAAAACCCAATTTTCAATGTTTTTACTATTATTTTTATTTCTCTGGCAAAAATTAATATTGCTTCCTCGTGGAGGAAGCTTTGTAGTCCTTTCGCTTATAAAACTTTTCAAAGTGGCGGAAACAAATTTTTTTCTTTATAGAAACATGTTATATGAGATCCTGATCAATTGTCCGGATGTATGTATGTGTGTGTGTGTGTGTGTGTGTGTGGATCCCTTTTTTGTTTAGAAGATAACTTTAACACGTTTTAATGGATTTAGATAAAATTTGGTAGGCTCATTTATCATATTAATATCTCAAATCTGACCAAAGGATTTTGAAAAATACCCCAAAAAAAAAATTTTATCGTCTTTTTTCCAAAAAATTTTTTTTAATCGAAAAAATTTTTAAATAGAAAAATTTAAGGTTATTTTTAAAAGAATTAATGAAAGTTAAAAAATCAAAAATTCACATTTTGGCAATAAAATTTTGCTTTCTCCACGAGGAAGCAAATTTTTTTGCTGATCGTAAAGAGGAAGCAAAATGTTCATGTAATGAACATCTGAATTTACAACTTGTTTCTAAATGTTCTTGGGCTCATTGGAACCGTATTTTGTTATGCGATTCAAATTATTTAAAACAATTCATGTACACATTCTTTCCTAGTGTATGCAAACTGTGAAACTTGACTAATAAAAAGTCAAAAAATTATGATTAATATTTAAGTGACAAAAAATGGTCAGTAAAATGTAAAAATCTTAAATTTACTTACATAAATCAAATAAGTTTAAGATGCTTAAGATGCTTCCTCTTTACGATCAGCAAAAAAATTTGTTTCCTCGTGGAGAAAGCATTAACATTGAAATAAACATACAAAAATAATATAATAATAATATAAACATTTGAGTACCTATAGATTTGAGTTAAATTTAAAGAATTAATTGAAGTTATGAAATCAAAAATTCACATTTTAGTTGAAATTTCTGAAAATTAAAGAAAAATAATATATAATTTATAATTATTTACAATTACATCGGTTTGTTTCAATGCAAGGAACACAATTATTTTATATTTAAACTTGAATTTAAATAAATACAAAATTTTTCAGCTAAAATGGAAATTTTTTTTTTAACTTTCATTAATTTATTAAATTTACCTCAAATGTATACTTTATATATACCAATCGATTCGTTTTCATGCAAGGAATACAATTATTTCATATATAAACTTCAATTTAAAAAATCACAAAATTTTATTGCCAAAATGTGAATTTTTGATTTTTTAACTTTCATTAATTCTTTAAATTTAAATTGAAACTATACTTTATATATACCAATTGATTTGTCTTGACGTAAGGAATACGATTTTATTATATATAACCTTAAATTATTCTATTTAAAAATTTTTTCGATTAAAAAAAAAAATTTGGAAAAAAGACGATATTTTTTTTTTGGTATTTTTTAAAATCCTTTGGTCAGATTTGAGATATTAATATGATAAATGAGTCTACCAAATTTTATCTAAATCCATTAAAACCTGTTAAAGTTATCGTCTAAACAAAAATGGGATCTACACACACACACACATCCGGACAATTGATCAGGATCTCATATAACATTTTTCTATAAAGAAAAAAATTTGTTTCTGCCACTTTGAAAATTTTTATAAAGGAAAGGAATACAAAGCTTCCTCCACGAGGAAGCAAAATTAAAATATTCTCTTTGTCAAGGTGTCATTTCTTTCAGAATTTTATTAGCTTTTATAAAATAAAAAAGAATAAATTTAAATTTTAATATTTTTGAAAATTAAAACCGTTTTATAGTCATGGAAAAAGCACAGGTCGCACACATTCCGACGGTAGTGTAAATTATAACAAAAAGAAATTAATTTGAAACAAATAAATACATAAACAAATAAATATTAAAAAAATTAATATGTTCTTTTTTCGTTTTATTGTTCCAGATTCTGAAAAAACTTCAATTTTTTAACTGAAAAAGAAATGAGGGGCTGATAGTAAAAATGGTTTAAAATAACATTAGGAGCAAAAGTGGGATAAGTGACTTGGGAGCAAAAACGGGTTAAAATGATTCGTTTAATTTATTGATAAATTCATTATATTATCGATTAAAAAATATTAACAATAGGAAAAAATGCATATTTTATTATAATTAATATTTTTTAATCGATAATATAATGAATTTATCAATAAATTACACGAATCATTTTAACCCGTTTTTGCTCCCAAGTCACTTATCCCACTTTTGCTCCCAATGTTATTTTAAACCATTTTTACTATCAGCCCCTCAAATCTTTGTACCTATTAAAGAACATTTTTTCGATGATTTACAAACTCAGTGTGCGCTTATGGAAAAACAGCTAACAGAGAAATGTGGAATTCCTTTTTCATTATCCAAGAAAGACAAAATTCGCATTAAATCATTATTTGCGCCGATAAAAAGAAAGTGGACAGACGCAAAGAGGACAACTGATGTGTTCATCAGAAGACATGATTAATGTCTGAACACATTCTTCTTTTTTACTAAAAATGTCCACCGTGATACTAATGACTATGCCGAATGGAGAGAATAGCCTACATCTTCAGGAAATAAAATGGGCCGTCCGTTGTGATCCTTTTTAAAGTCCAGTGACTCTACTAAGCGAAGAAGAACAGAAGAAATTCGGGAAAAATTCAACTGCGAGGAATTAGGTTTTGCAACGCAAATGAGTCTCCGTGCTGAAGGAAAATCCAACGCGGCCAAAGTTGTCAAAGTCGTTAGTCTGTAGAGTCCATCAAAGGCAACAAGGTATCGAAAATCTTTTGAAAAACCTCCCGAAAAAGTGTTTTCTAGCATTGAAGCTCTTTCTCTTTTGACAGAAAATAATTTAACTAAAAAGCCAGTATTGTGGAATACAATCCGCGACAAAAATCCCAGACTTTATCCGACTTATAATAAAATAGTAGTTGTCAAAAAACCATGTTATCCAAATGAATCGGATATTTGTATATCCGAAATGAAAGCCGAAGTAAGTTTGCAAGCCCTTTTAAATCTTACGATTTAACGTATACTTTTATCACAATCAGATGTTTTGACAAACTTTTTGTCAAATGAAGTAAATAATCGATAAACTTTTAACAAAAAAAATCGAAGAGAATTATTTACAGTTTGGCATTTCTAGTTTACATGCTTAAGTACGATTCTTTAAATGTCTCTTACACCTCTCATACAAATTGAATGTGAAAAAATGTCAAACTCGTAGATAGATTAAGGAAATCGTTGAAATTAGGAAAAAAGAAATCCAAAAAGAGTTCCGCATCAAGTTAGGGCTTTTGGTGAATCAGCCGAAATCAGGATATATATGGCTGTACAAATGACGGAAATACAGCTCGGCGTTTTTTTCAAAATGCTTCAATTTCTGCCCAAATTACAGGCATTGACGAAAATTTGATTCAACGGTTTCATGTCATTTTACAAACAATTTCATGCAGCTTCAATGTTAACGTTCCAAAATTCTAAGAATACACTTTAAAGACAGCCCATCAATTTGTACTGTTATATCCTTGGTAATACATGCCAACTTTGGTACACAAAATTTTAATCCATGGTCATAGCATAATATATACAACATTCTTTGCTGCCTATAGGACAAATGTCTAAAGAGGCACAAGAAAGTTGCAATAAGATTATTAAGAAAACCCAGAGAGACTTTGCACGAATTTGTTACTTTCATATAGAACAAAAATTTACCAAAATTATAAATCAGTTTAACAAATTCAAAGCTTTGATCTGAACAGTTCAGGAATTTTTTCCCATTTATATTTAAATTCTTATTAAAATGTCTTATAGTGTCTCCCATAATCGTATTTCACTCATTTTATTAATACATTTTAACTAGTTAATAATTAACAAGTTTTTTACCTGTAAATGGGAATACCGTCATTATCCTTAAACCACAATACCATGCTGATTGTATCTCCTAAGGTTGGAGGAGTAATATCACATGGTAATTCAACATCATCCCCTTTATCTGCCCATATTGATCTGATCGGAACTGTAACAAAATTGTGTGTCTCTATACAAATGTAAATATTAAATATAGTAATGTACATAGTATACACCATACTCACTTAGTATTTTTAAAGCGAGAAAGTAATATTATATATATATACATACATACATACAGGGTGTTCCAAAAGTATGGAAACTTGCAAATATCTCGAAAAGTACGAATTTTTGTAAAAAATATTCAAGACAAAAGTTGTTCCAAACAAAAAGATGTACATCTTTGAAACCAAAAAATTGGGCCCGGAGCCCAATGTTGGGCCCTACAATGAAAAAAGTGGTTTTCTTAAATGAGACCACTAATTTTCAGTATCAAATTCGTAATCCCCATGAAATTCTGCGTTCAGACATGTGGTATAAGTGCCCAAAATATTGGGCCCAATCCAAGATATTGGGTCCAAAATTTATCAACAGATAAATAAATTTTAAAAAATCGCATCTTGGAGGGATTTTGAGATCACAGGATTAAAAATTGAGCATAGAGCCCAATGTAAGATTCTGCAGCCCAATGTGAGGGCCCAATATTTTTGGAATTTGTACCACAAGTCTAAGCCCAGAATTTCAGAACGATTACGAAATGGAAGGAAACTAATTTTTTTATTGTAGGCCTCACATTGGGCTGCGGAATCTTACATTGGGCAATTTGAAAAGTAGCTTTGAATTTCTAATCCTGTGACCCCCAAAACTCCAAATGATGCGATTTTATAAATTTATTTATTTGTCAAAAAATGTCGAGCCCAATCCCAGACATTGGGCCCAATATTTTTTGGCTTTTGTACTACAAGTTTAAACCCAGAATTTCATAACGATTCTGAAATGGATACAGAAAATTAGTGGGTTTTATTTAAACAACTAATTTTTTTTAATGTGGGTCTCACATTGGGCCGCGGAATCTTACATTAGGCTTTGTGTACAATTTGTAAATTAGCTTCGAATTTCTAATCCTGTGACCCCAAAAACTCCTAAAGATGCGATTATTTAAATTTATTTATTTAACGAAAAATGTTGGGCCTAATCCCAGACATTGGGCCCAATATTTTGGGCACTTATACTACATGTCTGAACGCAGAATTTCATGGGGATTACGAATTTGATACTGAAAATTAGTGGTCTCATTTAAGAAAACCACTTTTTTCATTGTAGGGCCCAACATTGGGCTCCGGGCCCAATTTTTTGGTTTCAAAGATGTACATCTTTTTGTTTGGAACAACTTTTGTCTGGAATATTTTTTACAAAAATTCGTACTTTTCGAGATATTTGCAAGTTTCCATACTTTTGGAACACCCTGTATATTAATTTTAAAAATTATTTGAATCTCCTCCCATATGCAAAACTCTAATTGTGCATTATTCTTCATTTATATTTAGCACTATAAAACAATTGTGGAGCCAATATTCTTATTCTTTTTAAATTAAAAATAATTCTGCGCTATTTTATTATTATTCATAATAATAAGAAAATAATTCAGTTAAGCACTTTTAGTTGGCGTTACTAAAATATGGTTACCACAACAAAATAGAAACCAACCATTCTTATAGACCAATATAACTGGCATTTGATAATTACACGTAAGCTTCGTGGTTCACAATTAAACCTACAAGTAGCGTCATATACATTATTAGGATGGGAAATACACGGTCCTACAAACAACAGAATATTATACACCCAATTGCTTATATGCTGTCCTTCCGGGTTGGCAACGTTTTGAAAAAACGTGACACATCTATCAGTGTTCATTGTTAGTGGCGTATGGATAATCGCGTGCAACATGTTTATCGAAGTGACAGTTAACCTGAAAGATGAGTGAGTAAATATTTTCAATACATTTCTTATATTTTTTTATTCAATAGTTGATGACATTAATAATAATTATAATCATTATTATAAATATTATTGTGTACTTTAAATTCATATTAAAATCTTTGTTTTCTTTCTTTTCGAAATAAGTTTTTTTACATTTTCAACTTTAAGATTTTGAAACTCAACAATTTTTACACCTAAACTGTCGTAAAACAAATCCAAGGGGTTTGTCTGAACTTTTCTCTCGATTTAAAAGGTACTGCGACGTTTTAGATACACGTTCGTCTAACGCCATAAAAATTTGAAGATTTTTGTGTCGTCTTTATGTGTGAGGATAAAATGTATTTTTTAACTGAGATTTACATTATGCTGCTAAGGACATTGTTAAGGGAAAAGGACTCGAAACCAACGCATTTTCGGACCCAGGATGAGAAGGAGAAGGACTCGGTGAACGTTAGTCTGTATTTTGTCGATTCCATGCCGAAGTCGGACGTTTTGCGATCATACGTTCAGAGTGATCGTTACTTCGATCAAAATATCCTGAAGATACAGTGGAGTTGCGATTATCCATTAATCACAATTAGGGACATGATGAAGGTTCTTCAATTTTTGCACAATGAATTCCTTATCTTGAATTCTGTTCAGGAGGATCTTTTACAACAGAGTGAGTTTCTTTTTTTAGTTTCACGTTTTTCTTTTATCATTTTTCAAGGATTTTTTGTAATTTTTCAGTAATGAACGAATAATAAAATATAATAAATAGTAATTAAAAATATGTTTTTGTTCTAACTTTTTTAAATTCACTTGATTCTAGATATCATAATTTTGTTTTTGGACCTTCATTTTTAAATAAGGAATAATAGACTGTAACCTTTTCACTTTTTTTACCTTTTTTAAAAATTATGTCACCTATTTCGACTCCACTTGACTAAAAATTTAATTAAAGATTGATTTCATTCATTTGAATGTAAAAAATTCTAGTTTAAAAATGCAGGTGATTATTTATTTAATGTTAATTAATGCCGATAATTTTAATTTAATTATAATTTATTGATTTAATTTTAATTAATTAATTGAATTTCAGTAAATTCATTATGATTCAAAAAATCCATTCAATTTTAAAAAATGTATCTAATTTTCAAAAATTCATTTAATTTACAAAGTTGAACTCTACAATGTTAATCAACGATTTAACAGAAAATTATACATTTGCAGCCTAAAATATTATTTTCTGTTGTCCACAATGTTTTTCAATTGTTCAAAACGTTTCAAAAAAAATTTTCCGAACAAAAAAAAATATAACAAAAATATTTTTCTTTCAAATGAAAAACGTTATGGAATTCAGTTTTATTTTACTTTTAAGTTTTGGAGAGGACTTTAACTATTTTTGAAGGACATTCCTTTTTTTCAAATAAAGATGCTTCAAATTGTTTTTAAATACGTATAATTTTTAAAAAATCTAGAATAGTTAATTTGTATTTTTAGTTCTTTTGTTTATTACTTTTTTTCTTTTGCGTTAACACAGTAGAATTAAAGTTTTCCTTTTATTACCAGGTGGAAACTTAAAAGGAGAGGATGCAAAGGACCTTAACTATTTTTGAAGTTCATTCCTTTTTTTCAAATAAAGATGCTTTAAGTTGTTTCTAAATACATATAATTTTTCAAAAATCTACAAAAATTAGTTTGTAGATTTTGTTATTTATATTTAATATTAATGTTCATAACAAAAAAATGCTGACGCAGATGATTTACAAAAATCTATCTGACCGATTGCTCCAATTTTTTTACAGCTTATTCTACACAAGCATGGCTCTTGCCCGTACTAGAATAATACATTTTTGTTAATAAATAACAAAATAGCGGACTATATAAGCAAAAAGATTCAAAAATTGTCTGTTTTTTATTGACAAAAAGTTAAAAATAAAAAAAAGTTATCATTAAAATTGCGTAATTCTAGTACGGGCTACAGCCATACTTCTGTAAAATAAGCTAAAAAAAATTGGAGCAATCGGTCAAACAGATTTTTGTAAATCACCTGCGCCAGCATTTTTTTTTATATAAACATTAATATTAAATATAAATAACAATGTCTAGTAAAAAATAATCGATTATAATTTTTTTCAACACTTCATAAGGAGAATAATACGTTGTAAAAAGATTTGGTGTGATTACATTTTATTTTATAATAAAAATTCTGAAATAAGCTCCTAAAAAAAGGCCTAAACACCAGACTACCCCTTTAATACAGAAGAATGAAAATTTTCCTTTATTACCAGGTGGAAACTCAAAAGCTGCCTAGAAACGACCACGTAAATTACTGCTCAGTCAACAACGATCGACAAGTACCGAGCCACTTTGACTCCATAATCGCGAATTGCCGCCACTCGCTTTACCAAAATCGTCCGACGATTATATCGTTCCCAAGGAAATTATCATACCTCGTCTCTCAATTTACGGGGTACTGCAACATTTCAAGACCAACCCTTAAATGAAAGGTGATAGGAAATCTTGTAAAAAAAAATAATTGTTTATGAAACCTGGTATCTCGGGTTTTTCCGGGTCGCTGAATACGAATCTGATGTCAGATTTTCAAAATTAAAAATGGCGGATCCAATATGGCGGTCAAAATTTATAAAAATCCACCAATTCATTTAAAAGTTGTTACTTAGGGGTTTTTGGGGTCGCTGATTACGAATATGATGTCAGATTTTCAAAATTCAAAATGGCGGATTCAATATAGCGGTCAAAATTTATAAAAGTTCATCGAATTCACTTGAAACTTGTTACTTGAAGGTTTTTAGGGTCGCTGATAACGAATATGATGTCAGATTTTAATAATTCAAAATGGCGGATCCAATATGGCGGTCGAAATTTATAAATATTAATTATTTTTTATAAAACTTTTTGTCTAGGGGTTTTCGGGGTCGCTGATAATAACATAATAATAATAATAACATAATAACATTTATAAATTTCTACCACCATATTGGATCCGCCATTTTGAATTTTGAAAAGCCGACATCAAATTCGTAATCAGCAACCCCAAAAACCTTCAAGTAACAAGTTTCAAGTGAATTCGACGAACTTTTATAAATTTTAAACGCCATATTGAATCTGCCATTTTGAATTTTAAAAATCTGACTTCAAATTCGTACTCAGCGACCCCAAAAACCCATAGACACCAAGTTTTATAAAAAATAATTAATATTTATAAATTTCGACCGTCATATTGGATCCGCCATTTTGAATTATCAAAATCTGACATCATATTCGTTATCAGCGACCCCAAAAACCTTCAAGTAACAAGTTTCAAGTAAATTCGATGAACTTTTATAAATTTCGACCGCTATATTGAATCCGCCAATTTGAATTTTGAAAATCTGACATCATATTCGTATTCAGCGACCCCAAAAACCCCTAAGTAACAACATTCAAATGAATTGGTAAATTTTTATAAATTTCGACCGCCATATTGGATCCGCCATTTTGAATTTGGAAATTTGACATCAGATTCGTAATCAGCGACCCTAAAAGCAAAAAATGACCTGATCTAGTAAAACGGCCAAATACGGGTATCTTTTTTTTGGTCCTAGTTTCTGAAAATCATTGATTTTTTCGAGTGTGAAAAAAAATTTGAATTTTGTCGGACGGTGTTGTAATTGCAAACATTTTTGAAATAAGCATTTGTAGATTTCGTTAAACGATTCCAAATAAATTTAAAGAATTAAACAATTTACTTTTAAACATAAGATAGAATTAGGAAATAGAATTAGAATAGAATTAGGAAAAAAATGTCATTTTTAAAAACTCAACAAGGTATTTTTTTAATCCTTGCAGGATTTTTCGTTTTTACCTTTCGGTTTTTAGACAGGAGCGATTATATAAATAATTGAAAACTGGTTTTCGTAAAACAATCTATCTTCACTTACGCTTCTTTTCGGCCTCTAATTCGCAAAAGGATTTTTTTCTAATGTCGCACTTGAATTGAATTTGTTCTTCATAACTCCTTGATCGTCTTCTACATCTCGCTCCGAAAATTCCGTTAAAATCAAAGGACACTTAAATTTCAAAGCTGTCGTAATTGACTCTTCCCAAGAATCGTAAGCAATATCACAAATATTAAAACAAATATTATTTAATTAATTCTGTATACTGTAATAGTGCAATATTTTCTTTATATGAGTCAAAAAACAATGTATAAAAAATTATTCAACAAAAATAATAAATTATTAATATAAAAGAAATTAAATAGTTTAATTTTACATATTTTTGTCTTTACAAATTTTTTCTAATAAAAAATTTTTTTTTCCATTAATTATTTTACTGAACCCAATGTTATATGGAAATTGTTTGTAGATGCTATTTGTTAATAATAGAAATTTTTTTAATTTTCAAATTATAGGCACAGATGAATGCAAAAAAAGTACAGTTCTCTAAGTAAAATATGAAAAATAATTTGTTCAATTAATTTTTATAAAAATAATTTCATTTTTATTTCTACAAAATATCCTTCTAAGAAAGGAAAAGTGCAAAAATTCAGTAAAACTTACAACTCATCTCTTAGTTAGATCCAAAGTAATTATTTAATCAGAATAATAAGTTACTTGAAAAAATATAAAAAATAATAAAAATAATAATACATTTTTTTATTAAAAGTTTATTAATAAATTCAAGAAAAATAAAATATGACGATATATGTATTAATAATTAAATTTTTATTAAGAATTTTAAATACAATTTAATTTAAAAATTAAAATTTATTTTAAGTTAAGTATAATGTTTAGAGGCATTTTTTAAATTGAATAAATAATAATTTATAAATAAATTGTTATTTATTTACCTATAAAAAAATTTATTTTTGAAAAAAAAATTTCCAAGAACATTATTTAGGGTCATTTGGGGTAAATGTAAACGGATTTGCTTAGTTTCGACAATAACGTAAGTTTTTTATTTTAAAAAGCAATACTTCCGTTTTTCTACTGCATGAACTTGTTACTTTACTTCCCTAGAAACATTTTATTAGGTACAAAAAAATATTGATCAACTTGAATCGCTTAAAACTGACTGTTTACATTTACCCCGAGATTTTGAAATTTTCCCAAAATTCGGGGTAAATGTAAACACCCCTGTAGTTTAAAGAGGTTTAAGAAAAAAGTTATCCCAAGTATACTACTGTGTAAAGGGATGTAAAAACTGAAAAAAAATTCTTGGTAGATGTAAAATAATTGAACCAATTGATTGATATGCAACATATAAAATAAGCAATCATTACCATAACTAAACTAGTAATGTAAAAACTTGAATAACTTCAATAACTTTTAATAGATTTTCATTCAACTTCCCGTGTAAAAATTGAAGTAAGATTCTTGTATGGATCTTATAAGATTTCCCTATTACCTATCAGAATCTGGTAGGGAAGAATATAAGGAAATGGTCGGGCCCTGACATTTTCTGTGACGCTCGGTTCTCGTCAGAAATTTTAATATGATTTCAGAAACATTTCCCGTCCTTGACCCTACGAGGACCTTACAAGAATCCAGATTTTTCAAAATCCGTTTTTGCGATTAATAATTTCAGGTTATATTATTAAAATTTTTTGTATTTAATTGTTAAAAGCAAATTGGCGATTTTAATTATTTCACATATATTTTTAAGTTTTTTAATCTACTTAATGCATTATATTATGTATACTGCTCTATATTTCATATTACAAAGCATATAATTATAATTAAAATTAAATTGGAATTGATGTTATTAATAAAAGAAAGAATACTATAAAAAATTTTCCTAAATTAAGTTATCAGTTATAACGATAACTTTCCAGATATAAATACAATAATTGCAACATGTTTAGAAACAATTATTTATTTTCAATAACAAATTTAATTAAACCAAACAATATTTAAATTTAATTGAAAATATATTCATTGTTTAATAATAAATTTTTAAATTATGCAAAAGATGTGATTATTATTTAACATTCTTCGTCTTCTTCGTTTTCTCCGTCTTCTCTTTCGCCTGCAATTTCTCCTTTTGCATTTTTATTTTTTAAAATATCTTTTTTTTGCGACTACTACGTCCTCCATCCCAGTCTTTTGCATTTGGGAGAACAGAGCTTAATTCTTTTAATAAAGATTTCTCGGTCACTGCATCTTTATTTTCTTTTCCTTCCTTGTGGGTAGAAGAAATAACAGCTAAAAAGATAAACAATTAAAAAATTATTTTCAAAACAAAGGAAATTTTATATTATATATTACAATTTTTCGTACAAAGAAGAAGAGAGAATAGCTCAGTATCTTTGAACAGTTGTTTTCCCTCAGTTTGCTTTGACGTCACAAATTGAAGTCCAACGCTTTTTGACAAAACCTTTCTTAATATGTTAGTAACGCTTTTCCTAACATTAAGCTTCGGGTCAAAATTGATCTTTAAGACTGATGACTAGAACATAATTTTTGGTTGTTATTATTCATAGAATATGTTATTAATTTTTCTGTATTATAAAATATTGCCATTAAAAATCTTACAAATAATAATTGTAAATTTAAACTATTATTTTCAGTAAGAAATTCTTTATTTCTATTAATTATTTATAATTTTATTTTTACTTACATTTAGATAAAAACAGTACTTACGAATTTCTGCCTAAAATCGGCTTCTTGCAATTTAAGTTCGAAGTCTTTGAACTTTTCCAAATCTGTTAATGGCAGTTCAAAGTTAATTTTTTCATTAAATTGGTACGTTTCAGGAGTTGGTATGCATAATTGCTGATGTACATAATCTATTTTATTCCCCTGAATCCGCTGCTCTTTCCTGATTTCTTTCACATACACATTCAGACTAGACATTCCATTTATTATGCGATCTAAGGAAAATCCATTTACAAACAGAATTTTAGAAAAATATTAATTTTATTATATCTTAATAATACACATTATATTTATATTTACCAATCTTTGCTTCTATTGAATCATCTGAAAATTCTGTTGTACGCGATGTTGAAGGTAAATATGTCTGCATTAAATCTGAAAATGTGTTCAATTTTTCTATAGTTCCGTTACATTATGTATAATAGAAAATTAAATTTATCTAATTTGGTGTTATCAACCTTAATTATTTGATTTGCCTAAATATGATTAAACGAATTCAATTTGATATTTCATTGCCAATTTATGAGCTATTTATTTTAAAAATGAAAATTATTATTCTTCAGGTATTATTTTTTTATGTTAATTTTTTTCTATTTCTATAAATTATTTTGCTGTTTTTATTCATAAATTATAGGTCTTACCACAGTTATATTTTCTAGTTTTCGCTGGCTCTCGTGCTCTAATGTTAATTCTTTTATCGCTTTTTAAATGTTCAATATGTCGAATATCTAAAACAATTATAAAATTTTTTTAACAATTATATCTTACTATTTTAAAGTATAAAAATATAAACATAAACAAATGAAATAAATTATAATAAAATATAAATAATAAATATAAACTAAGAACTAAATTATAATTTTTTCAGTTCAAATTGAACGGAAATATTTTTTTAATTAAATTAAAATAAAATGGTATTTTATTTAATACTGAAATAAAAATTAGTATATACTTGGTTTAGAAATTTTTTCGAGGGCAGTTTCTTTCATTGCAATCGGTTTTTTATTCTCTAAATCAATTCCGATTTGATGTTCATCACTTTCAAGTGCTCGAAAAGTATTAGAAGACTGGACTGTAAAAAATTAATTAAAGATAAATAATTATAAAATTATATATGTAAATTATTATGTTGCATACATATCATTAGAATTTACAGAAAAGAGGCTAAATGAACTTACCTTATCTATTTATTAGTTAAAAATTTTAAATGAAAACTTAAAACTTTTTAACAAATCGATAAAACTGACACACTTTTTATTTATTTTACCGGAAACATGAACTTTCAATATTAACCAAATAGAAATGACTATTAAACATTTGACAACTGTTCACTATGAACTTGTTATTTATAACTGTAAAAAAATATCAATAACAGACACAACCTGAAATAAAATTTTCCAATTTAAATTCATTTTCAAGAATTTCTTTTGCAATAAATAGTGATCTATGTATTTCTTTAATCAGAAATCACAAATCGGTCCAAGGAAAAAGTAATGACAAGATCAATTTGTCATAATATTTTTTAATTAAAAATTTCAATTTAATTATTTTAAAACAAACCTAAAATGAGCAAAAGAAAATTAGAAACCATCAGGGAACAGACGCGAATGAGAACTAAAAAGTATCGAGAAATGAAAAAAATCAAAGAGGAAATAACAAAAACTATGAAAGATTATAGACCCAGGACGAGCACGGAAGGTATTTATTTTATATAATTAATTATATTATTAATATTATATAGTTATATTATTAATGATTATGTTAAATGCTAGTTGCTTTAAATTAATTTTGTAAATTTTCATAAAGATAAAATAAAATTCAAGTCATTTTATTAATTACTCATTTAACATTTAAACAATTTATTTAATTTCAAATTGTAAATTAACGTTTTCAATTATAGGTGATCCTTCTACCTCTCTAAGCAGTGAAAAAATAACTGAAGGAAATGTAGAATTGTTTAATTACAAAGTTGATACTGACTTCTTAATTTCATCAACTGCATCTGAAGTTGCTAATCCTGAAAAAATGACTTTAAGCCCGCTATTTAAATCAAATAATATGCATTATTATCAAGGTATATTCTAGCTACAATTATAGAATTTGAATTACAAAGGATTAGTATAATATATGAATTTCGTAAATCTATAATGATTTAAATTTTATTTTCTAGAATTTATAGAATTAGTTTTTTCTTCTCATTTAAATAAATGGCACTAAAAAGAATAAATAAAAAAAACAATATATATATATATATATGTACAAGATTAAATAAATATGAAAATGGAAATTGTCTTTTTTGAAAGACACGTTTATTTTAAATAAATAATAATTATCTAAAATTTTACCAAAAAAACTGTATATTTGCAAAAATTTTAATTTAAAAAAAAATTATTTGTAATTTTCTTTTCTGCTAGTTTCACATGGTGGCCACTAAAATCAGTAAAAAAATTTTCCTGACTTTTCCAAGACTTTTCCCTGACGTTTTACTGACTTTCATGACCTCTTTATCCTGACTTTTCTCACTAAAGTCAGGGAATTATTTATTAGTCAAGAATTTCCCTGACTAATTAAAAAATTCTTTGGCTAAGTTTCATAAAATTCCCTGATTTTCTCCTAACTTCTCTGATCAATTTTTCCCTGACTTCCAGGCTTTCCCTGACCAGTGGCCACCATGGTTTCAATACATTAAGAAGGAATTATAAATCCGATAGTAATCAGCATATACACCCGGTAAGAAGCGAGGAATTGAAAAGAATTCAGAATTCCAATTCTTTTGAATGGGTGAATTTCCGGAATGATCCAATTCTCCGATGGAGCGAAAGAAAGTAGAAAATTCTATTCTCTTGAATTGATCTGACAAAATTTTTAACCGCGGATTGAAAGGAATAAGAAGAGTAAAACAAATTAGTAACTATTTCTATTCCTCTGAATTGACCTGAAGTCAGTGTTAAACGCGAATTAAAAGGAATGAGAAAAGCGAAATAAATCAGTAACCATTTCTATTCTCCTGAATTGACATGACACCAGTCAGAAACGCGCATCGAAAGGAATAAGAAAAGTGAAACAAATCAGTAGTCGTTTCTATTCTCCTGAATTGACATGACACCGGTCTAAAACGCGTATTGATAGGAATTAGGAAAATGCAAAGCAGTAGCCATTTCAGCTTTCTTAAACTGACATTATAACGGTTTTTAAAAGCATATTAAAAAAAATAAAACAAATCAGTAACAAAATATTTCTGTAATCGCGAGTCCTTACCTAAATATTTATCAGAAACCTGACATTCCGAAGAGAACTTTGAAAACAAATTTGGGGGAACAGGTGGTCGAACACGCGACGCGACGAACGCAAACGAATAACCTAACCGACTACGCTACACGAACCGACTGTAGAAGAAAAAAAAATCTTGCCCTTGAGGTGAGAGATTTTATCTGTTGAAACGTTGCGCGTTTCTTGGAAATATTCTAATGTAGTGCTTTTCCATAATGTTTGAAATTAAAAAGTGGAAACTATGTTATTTTATGTAAATAACTGACGTAATATAATTATAATTTCTCTAACGAGTATATATATATACGAGTATGAATTTCTCAAACTAGTCGTTTAAAATTAAAACAATTAATTTTGAACCAAAACCCAGAAACACTTACAACTTTTTTTAAGAGTTTTGTACGCTCAATAATTGTATTTTCCATCTTTATATATTTTCCTAATCAAAAGAATAATAGAAATAAATTAGAAAGTGTTCAGTACTCAGCTATTAGGGCTGCTCTTGGTTATCGATGTAGTACTCCTAAAAATATTCTTCTTGGGGAATCAAAACTGCCTCTGATTGAGGAGCGTGCGAAATTTCTGTGTAAATGTTAGTTACAATAAATCATGTCTTTTGAAAACTCTCTAACTAAAAATAACTTAACTAGATGTTACTCTAACTTTAAAAAAAGAAAAGGTAAACTTAAAATTGTTGATTATTGTCTTCAAAATATGTTTCAAAATAACTGTACAAACCAATATGTATCAAGTATTTACTGTAATGATTATAAAACTTTAATAACTAAAATAGATTTTGACACAGTATTGGGTAGGGATCTGCGATCTATTGATTGTCCTAATCAATTGCTATCAGATTTTTTAACTGTAAATAGTGCATGTGCTATATATACAGATGGTAGTAAGATCCGCGGCTCTAAGTCTGTGGGCTCTGCATGTTTCTGTCTAGATTTAAATATTACAGTCAGAATGTCAATGGACAGTAAGGCTTCAATTTATACTGCTGAAAGTTATGCTATTCTGAATGCTTTTAAGATAATAAATGATAACCCTCTTATTGATTTTTATATATTTTCTGATTCATTGAGTGTATTACATACTTTAAACTCAATTAACTGGAATATAAAAACGAATTCTATTATTTTTCAAATTAAAAAAGCTTTTACTCTTACTGCTGACAATAATTCTAAACAAATAGTAAAATTTTTCTGGATTCCTTCACATATAGGAATAAATGGCAATGAAACTGCAGATATTAATGCTAAGGAGGCTACGGATTTTGAGCCATCGGAGCTTATCCGAATTCCATTTACGGATTACTATGAACAGTTTAAAGAGGAAGAGAGAAATTGTACAATAGATTTTTTAAAAGAGTAGGCTTTGAGTAAGGGCAAACAATATTTTGAAAAATATTTTAATAAAAAATCTTGTCCTTGGTACTCGAAAAAAAAATTTGTCTCGAAGAACAATTGTTACGGTTAATAGATGTAGGGCTAATCATTATAATCTCTCGTCGTCACTTGCAAGAATAGGAATAATTAATGACCCCTCATGTTTTTGTTCGTATGAGATTCAAGACTTGAATCATGTAGTTTGGCAATGCCCGTTGTATGAGAAGGAAAGAAGAGATTTTATTAAAAACATACAAAAAATTGATTTGCGGCTTCCGCTTAATATTGAAATTTTGATCGCTAAACCTAATATTATTGCCTGTAAATATTTGAATGAATTTTTTGTAAAGTGTGGTTAATGTAAACCAAATATACAATTGTGTGGTTAATGTAAACCAAATATACAATTGTATTATATATAATATTATAATAAGTCTT